CCACTTTTTAGGGCTATTGAGTTAAACATGGATTTACTATAAGTAAAGGGAGCCCGATCGAATGGCGTAGAAATTTCACATGTCACGGTAATCTAGAATATACAAAGGCGTTAATATAGTAGAGAAACTGAATATGTCCAGAACATATGTCCACTTTCTGTTCAGTTTTTCTTATTTATCTCAAAACTAGATAGGTAGGACATATTCAGTTTCTGCATTGACGTATTCAATTGTGTTTATAAAATGTAAAAATGTGACATTTGACAGTTTCCCCTGTTGTTTCATAGATGGCGCTCTATACAATTTTTTGATTTAAATCATTTTAAGATAATAATAAGGTATTTGTCGTAGAAAAAGTATAGTATGCACCTCGTTTATAAACTTTTCTATACACTCATTAATTTAAGAACTCGCTCGCAAGCTCGCTCGTGCCTAAATTAAATTCGTGTATAAAATGGCGTTTATCAAACTTGATACATAATATACTATTAAAGCACATTTTAATTTCAAATGTCAAACTGACAATTCGTTAAATCCTAAAATTCATTATATTTTCTCTCTAAATATAACTCGTGGTATGATTAATTATCGATGATATTTACTCATTGAAACCGAAGCAGCACATTTCAGTGAAATGATTTCACTCGTCCTGCGGACTCGTGAAATCTGCAGCTCGGTTTCAATTCGAAAATATAATTGATGATCATACCACTTGTTATATTATGGCCCATAATTTATGGTTGATAATACTAAATTATATAATATAAGCTATAAGTCTAATTTCATTATATTTATTACATGTTTATTGGGAATCCCAATTTGGGATACATTTTAGAGTTAATAGTTAAATTCTTTGATTTATCTATTGATTTTATATAATTTCAGTTTTTGTGAAAGTGTTGTTTATTTATATAGGTATGTCGTTTATACATTTTATTATTGTTATATTGTAATTGTAAACTTTGTTTCGTACAGATTAAATTATTTTGTTTATTTAATAAATTGATTCCAATTCTTTATTAATATGTTGAGACTTTGTTGCCAATTCTGATCCATGTATAGTTGGTCTTAGGATGTAAAATACATTTATTTCGTTGTGTTTCGCGATCTTGCTATTTATTTAATTTTGTTAATCGATATTTGGGGAACTACTAAGGGAGTAAACACTATGATGTGCGTTGAGTCTTAGCCCCTTAATTTATTAACAAAACATGTTTTATTGTTGTTGGCCAATTTAGCTATAAAGTATGAATATATGATGTTTGTAATGAAAGAGGCATGTGCATGTGCACGAGTATACGAGGGCCGTACGAAAGTGAATTGATTTAGGGCTAAGTTTCGTCTCATAGTCTCAGTTTTTATTTACTTTGATCGTTCTTTTACGCTACTATTCTCCAAAATATGATATTGTATATTTTACTGGCTTAAAATGTTTTATTGATATGTTTATGAAGTTATACATCTAAATGTATTTATTATTTATGACTGTACACAAATTTTATTGCATTACGGTTGTCCACCGCTATCCCACTTGTTATTTATATATTTTATTTACCACTACTATTTATTATGTTCTCTATGACTTAAGTTACATGCTATTTTATTTTACACAATGTTTTTTGTTTGTTGCTGTACATTGATAATAGTTTCAATTTGCTTTTATACACCCTCCGAGCCTACCATTTAAGGAGGGTGAATAATCTTCCCAAGTAGCACAAACGCGCTGAAAATTGTCATATACCTTACTATATAACAATTTTTAATATAACACTTTTATTTTAAAAATAACTGGTAACCTTTAATATGGCGCTTATAAACATGAAAAAGGCGCAAGTTTATAAAACAATTGTATCCGATAGACGTTATATAATGATCGCCCATGATAATTATATAACAATATTTAGCATTTTATAAAAACGTTACATAACAGTTTTTTAATAGAGCTGTAAGTGAGGTCCCGGATGATCCTAAACAACATTTTTGTGTTCTTTGACAATACTATAAAAATATTTTATAAGTATCGTTTCAAAAGGTTATTAGTGGTAAAACACCATTACAGAATACTTATAAAATAATTTTATAGCAGCATTAAAAACGTTTCATTTAAAAACAATCTGTGTTGCATAGGACTTTAACAACTTAGCGATGACATTTTGATTTTGTAAGAATCACGAAAAATATTATTTTTATTTTTATACGATAATAATGGCGACAAAAATGATTTGTTAAATGCTCTCACGATGCTCTCCTAAATTATTTGGTTGATGGCGGCTTGATGAATTTCACAGGCTTTGGATAGTATATAATAACTTCATAAACAATATTAACGGCTCTGATTGTAAAATACTCTTACCACGTCAACTTTACTGACATTATACATATATATTTGTGGTTAAATTTTAAAGCGCTTCCAATTTTGCCCATATTTACCAAATTAAAAAAAAATATTATTATTTTTTAATTTTTTTTGTTTCTAATAAAATTAAAAAAATATTGCATTGCTTTCTGTTGCACTCTGAATGCCAAATCCGATGTTACAATCGAAACTTTCAATAGACTTTATCGATATTAATGTGATTTTTCGTATTTATGACAATATGGACCATATTATATGGTTGCCTCAAATATAAAGTTCATTTTGATTTGAACAATGAAAAATATGGCGATTTCAATTAAATCATTTTTATCCCTTACGACATACCTATAAAATTAAACTGTGTTTGAAATTAGTTTTATAACACAATTCTGATATATAATTTAACTATATAAAAGTCGTCGCGAAAACAAAATTGTTTTTCACCTATTTTAGCAGCTACAATGTTGTCAAAATGTCAAATATTTTTTTAATGTTCTAGATACCTACCAAATTATATTTTGTATAGATATAATTGCCTTTTTGTTTTTATAATCATTTTTTTCGAGAAATTTAGAATCCATTAATCCCTGTAGAGTTTATAATCGTTATTGTTGGCAGGGATGTGTCGTAGAATATGGAATACATTTTACCAAGTTTAACTGCTAATATCTTCATCAAGAGACGATTAATGAGTTTTAATCAATTTATGCGAATATTGTGTAGGTCTCACTCATATATTTAAAACAAATTAAATATATGGTCTTACTGCATGCTACCTACAATCAATCCAACAGAAATTATGGTAACTTCGGCAATACCGCATCTCCAGCAAACACGTTTAAGATTCCAGGTTCCAATTTTTTAATATGGTGGCAGCACAATCGAATATCGTTTTGTTTTATTATGACATTAATAAAGAGGTAATAAAACAATATTGTTTTTTAAAACTCACTACAATTACCTTAAATAATACTTTTGTTATAAAGTACTTGTTAGGATAATGTTATTCGATAATTTTGTCTTAGTTCGTGTAAATCTGTTATTTAATGAGGTTTTTGTGATCACCACATGTGTGTATTACGTTTACGGTTATTTTTGTCAGTGCTATTGCACTTCCTTTATCATAAGTTCCAAGCTCTAGTTGCAAGCCATGGCTTTCAGAAGAACTTGAATTTACATTTTGATGTTCCAAATCTGTGCTAATAGATCCCAACTTAGCAGTAGATGATGATGTTGCGACTATTTGATTATCTGTATCTTTAGATAAATTTATAATTCGTTGATAGCTATCTTTAATTTTTTTTCTGAAATTACCACTACGTTTAAGCTTTTTTCAATTAGAAATTTGACTACTCGACATTTTATAGCTTTGCTGCAAAGCCTTTGCAGTAGACTGATGAATTCTGAATTAGCACAAAAATGTTAGGTTAGTATTAATGAAGCTATATAGGAATATCACATAAGATAAAATTGCGATTTTAAAGCGCTTTTTATTTTATTAGCTACTTTTAATTATTTTATACAAGCGTCATTAAATATAATAATAAAATACTTTTATTAAAGTGGTTTTGAACGCAAAAATGTCGCAATTTGCAAATTGTTTTAAAAGTAAATCTCCAAAACAGCTATAAAATCTTGTTATAAAGCTCTTACAAAAAATAAAATTTTATTTTTGTTATGGTATCCTGCACCCCCAATAAAATCATTTTAAAACAATTATAAAATAAATTTAGCTCAAGCGTAAATAGATTTATAACTATTGATTTATAACCATGTATAACACATTTGATTCGAAGCCTTTAAAAATGTTTTATTAATCAGTCTCAACAACAACTATAAAACACTTTAATAAAATATATCAGTTTCCAAAGCATATTGGTGACCTTGGCGAGCTTTATTCGACTATTCGCTCTTAAAGGAAGTAACAATAAAGCAAATATATAACTATTTAGTCGAATAACAAAATTTATGTGCTACTTGGGTTAGCAATATGATAATATGATTGATGATATAGGTACTTATTTTGTTATAATATTTATATTGTTTAGATGTATGCACATGTATATGTGGATTTTTAAGGTTTTACCTTATTAACTTAAATCTATTGTTTTTATTAATAAACTTATTTTAATTTAAAACTTTTTCTTTGCTTTTTAAATATTTTTTCAATTGCTCAAGTACTAGACGATTACGTGTTTTGGCCAAAGGTAATTTTTTGTGGTTTTAATATTCGTTTTAATTATTAACGTGTGCGCCCCCTTGCCCCCGATCGTTACAATACTGGTATGTATATGTGGATTTTTAAGGTTTTACCTTATTAACTTAAATCTATTGTTTTTATTAATAAACTTATTTTAATTTAAAACTTTTTCTTTGCTTTTTAAATATTTTTTCAATTGCTCAAGTACTAGACGATTACGTGTTTTGGCCAAAGGTAATTTTTTGTGGTTTTAATATTCGTTTTTATTATTAACGTGTGCGCCCCCTTGCCCCCGATCGTTACAATACTGGTATGTATACCAGTATTGTAACGATCGGGGGCAAGGGGGGTATGTATACATGTGTATATCAGATATGACTCCTTAGAATTGTACATTGGACGTTTATAAAAATGCATTTAAATATTACAGTAGTTTTTTTAAGTGTAAGGCGTGTGCCCACCATCCCATGGTGCCCACTCGGAGATAGTAAAACAGGTATTCTAGCAGTGCAAGAATTCCGACGACCGGGCCTGCGCTCTTCACTTACACCATACGCGACCGGTCTAGCGGGCGAACATGTGCTCAGCAGGAATCCTGCGATACTTTTAATAAATTTTCGTTGTTTATTGCTTTTCCGTTATTTTTATTAATGAAACTCGTCAGCGAAATGCCTTTTTTAAAGTGATTGACTGTTGTTTTGTGACAAAATTTGTTTTTTGAATGTGAAAACATGGCTTCAAATGATGATATGACTTTTGAGTGGTCCATGCTTAATAGCACCATCGAGGAGTGGACTGAAGAAGGTATTGTTGATTTTTATTTATAAAACCAAACATTAAGTGAAATTTTGTCTGGTATAAAGTTGTCTTAATGTGGGAATTAAAATATTTGTTTCTGTTTTATTATAATAATAAATATTGTTATTGTTTGATAAAAAATATTAACTATTAGTTTTAAGATTAAAATTAAATTATGTTATTTATTATCTTTTTATTCCTTGTATTAAATAATATTATTTGGTAATAGTTCTGACTAATATTGTTAAGTGAGAAGGTTCAACGGTACTATATTACTAAGAAAGTCCTATTCTTTCAAAAATCAATCTGTAAGTACGTTAAAAATCTGAACAGGCTGGATTTTACATACATAAGTTCCTGGAGGTCTTATTCCTGTTTTCTCCCCTCCGCCTTTTTTTTTCAAGGTTCAAATTATTTTATCTCGTATAGCAATTAAAGGCAAAACTTTCTGTATTTATTTCCTAAAGGCCGCCAAAGTAGCACTTTTTATATTTTTTCTTATATTTTTACATTGAGACCTAAAACCTTTTATATTTAACATTTTTTAATGAAAAACATTCTTACTATTCCTGGAATGAAGATGAAATAAGCACTTTATTAAAGTGCTGCCCTAAAAAGATGTGATTTTCTACTAATTTAGATTTTCTCAACAGGTTAAGAAATTTAGTACGGGGTCGTCCATAAAGTACATTACACCTTTTTAGAACCCCCATGTCACGCATAACAGCATTATTAAAGCAAAAGTATTGGCCCCCTTCGGAAGGCGCCCTTCCCTATCATATTAATACATTTTTATTAATTAATCATATGATTGGTGTCAGTTCGTTAAATTTTAGTATAAACAAATTTAGATATGACACATTTTGTAAAAACTTAATTTTTTATGTTGTTAAGTATTGTTTAATGTTGTTAATAATAAAAAAAATCTCCACCTTTTTATATTAGTTCTTCTTATACTTATTTACAATATTTTATGGTTTTATGTTTTTGTTTTAAACTATCCATTAACAAATTTTAGAAATAATATATTGCAATTATTTTGAAAATACCATTTTTGCCAATTGGTGTATTTTAAAAAGGGTAGAATGCATTTCCCTACCCCAGAAAAATACTAAATAGCATTTTTCACTCCTCTATACAAGAATATTAACTTCATAGAAAAATGTTATACCTATACGTAGGTAAATTACTATTAATTTTGTTTTTGATAATTTATGGTATGAAACTCCTAAATACAAAAGTATTTAGTGAAATATGCATTCATAAATGCAAACTTAATACTGACCTAGTATAAAAATAATTAAGGTTAATTTTAAGAATATTTCTAATAACATAAGATGTTAGAATCTGAATATTAAATACGCAAAGTTTTGTAAAATTTAAATTTTAAACTGAATAAATAATGAATGTAGTTTTAACAAATATATTAATATAATTTAAAAATGTTTTTATTTATTAATTACCTAGTTAATTTTATTAAAATTTACACAATTTGGTACATTTTATTAACCTCTCATAAAGATATCTCAATTAATATTATATTATAATCACATATTAAATTAAAATAAAATTTGCAAAAAAAACCGCCTTAAATTTAAGCACATGCAGGTTTTTTTTTTAAAACAAATCCACATTAAAATGGCTTTTTAATAAGAAATATTTTTTAAATTTAAGAACATGCAGGCTTTTTTTAAAACAAAACCACATTCAAAAAAATATTTTTTTTTGCCTAATGCAAAGGATTTATAAGCACGAATAATTTTTACTTTTATCGAAGGCGAATTTATAAAATTGTTTTTTATACAAAATTTATACTGAAAGGGAACTGGTGCAGCAAATTTTGTGATTCGATAAAATGTAGGTAATTAACTAAAAAACTTGTTATTCCCTTTATTAATTTTTGTAATAGTATTATATATTTAAAATGCATAGGTATTTGTGTATACACAAAACTATAGTTTTGTCGGATAAGTTGTAATAATATAATAATGATGCATAATTTTTTTGTAATTTGGTATAGACTATTAAAATAATAGTAAAATAAATATGTACATAATATGTATAAGCAAAATGTATTCCATTCAAATACAGAACTTTTTCAAACAATCCAACCATAACGAAAGTTTCAGTTGTCACATAATCTTAACGTCTAATTAGTGTATGCCTACCCTTCGTACTAATGAAGCTACTTAAAATATATTCATAATTTTGTTGTCTTAAAATGTCACTTTCAATGCTAAGTAAAGCTAAAGCTACTGTCTCAACTATTTGGTTATTATTTATCTATTAACTATCTTGAAGGCTTGCTTGAACCACAATAGAACAAATATGTTTATGAACCACTATGCAGAAGATGCGCACTATTCCTTATGCGGCAGCAACGCCTTCTAGAATAGCCTCCCTTGCTCCCGTATGCACTTCGTATTTTCTGTCGCCTTCGAGACAGTGTGAGACATTTTTGTCTGGGTTGTCAAATACATTTACGTTAAATCATTTTATCAGCTGGACAGTGATCGCGGGACCCTTTGGGGTGCGGACCCACAGGCTGCAGCCTAGGTAGCCTATGCTTAAATCGGATTTAATAAATCCGGCCATATTAATAAATTAAATCAATAGGTTTAAGATAGCCAAAAGAGATTAGTGGATGAAAATAATAAGTAACATTTTCGTGTTAAGCAAACAGGTGGAACTAAGTAATAAAAGTTAAAACATTTTTGCTTAGTACGAAAATGTCAATTACCATAAGCTCATAAATTATGATTTTATAAAACACTTAAAAAAAATAAACAAATAAATATAACCACACAAACATTTTCCAATTTTTTATATAAAAATATTTAATTTTTCTACTAAATGTAAGTAAGATAAATACATGTATTAGTAAAACCCCAGAAAGTATGAATATATTAAAGTCATCTTACATTCGCAAGTGGAATTTCGCTAAGTGTCCCTTTTGAAAGTCTTGATTTTTTTTAACTTGACCTAGAACCCCGTTTCTTCATTTGAGATTGGAGTAAGTACATTCATATTTAGTAATAGTTAAGCACGACTACTAAGTATGTATTTGGAATGAATGAATGCATACAATGTATACTATACATGTTTGGGTAAATGGAATTTTACTTTAAAAATAGATTTTTGTTCATTATCAAATAAATTTAACGTTTTATTTTAATAAATGTAGTATCCTTGTATTATATTTTTATCAATGTTATACTTTAATGTTTACATTTACACCATTCTTTTGTATGGTTTAGAAAGCATACAAAAGAATAGTGTCTGTCGGGTGGTGTTTATATTTACTAAAATCAAACTTTAAATTTAAATTAGGAAAATAAGGCCAAAATAACCTATTTCTAATACCTATATTGTAATTTATTTTAAATTTAATTTAACACAAGGAAATACTTTAATAGCGTATTTAGTAATTTCTAAAAAATGTACTCGAATGGAGTTTGATGTGTTTGATATTAGACCCAGAATATGTATACAATAGAAGCTTTATTTAGTTTAAAGTTATAAATTATATTCAGAGGGGTGGCTGCCCATAGCAATAATAATATATACATATATTTAACAGGGTGTTAGGTCTGGACCTAAAAAGATATCAAAAATTTATCTTCACTGTTTCTGGGATATGTGGGGGGAATCAGTGTAATCACAAAAATGACCTTTACAAAGCAACCCCTGTGGATGTAGCCACCACAACGCATTTCTTTTTTAAGGAAACACCCTCTTTGTGATACCTCATTGGAAAGCTCTTGAAAAATGCTATTTAACAGTACTAAAAAAATACTTTTGAATGGTTTAATTTTTGAAAAATACGCAAAATAATTTTTATAATTAATTATTCAATTTCTCGTTCTAAATATCAAATGTTGTCGTTAAAAACATTAGTAAATAAACAGAAGAACACAAAATAATTCGAACAGAAGTATAATAAACTAAAAAAACATGTATGCATTTATTTTATAAATAAACCAATTGTTCAAGAATAATAAAAAAACTTTAAGTTTTAGGTTTTAAATTAAATGCTCAAAACGATTCCCATTATTTTATAAGCAAATAGAACAGTCTTTCTCAAATTTCTTTCGAACATTTTGAAATGTTTGTGGTGGAATAGCTCGGCATTCTTGAACTATTCGTTGTCGCCGAATTTTGTAAAACACAGATTTTCAATGACCCCATAAGAAAAAAGTCTAATGTTTTCAGATCTGGAGATCTGGGAGGCCAATATATTGGTCCTCTTCTACTAATCCATGGATTGGTGAATAATTCTGATCCAGCCAAGCCCCAACAGCTACTACATAATGAGGTGGTGCCCCATCATTCTCTCCTCTTTTTTTAGTATTTAGTATTTTCTAGTTCATTTATTATTATGGCTGTATTTTTTCATCTAACATTTTAAAATAAATTTGACCATTTAAATTTTGGTCATTAAATAAGGGAGCAATAAACACAATCTCCCAAAATTCCTGCCCATACATTTCAGGATACTGGGTATGATTTTCTCTGATGAGGTGAGGATTTTTATTGCTTCAATAACGATAACTTTGTTTGTTAACATTTTCATTTAGATAAAAAGTACTCATCGCTAAAGCAAATGTATTTTAGTATTTGAATCTGAATTGTTATTTTATTGGTCATGATTTCACAAAATCCTAAACGCATGTCTTCATCATCATCGCCAAGTTTTTGTGAGATATGCATTTTGAAGGGGTGGAATTTGTGATGTTTAACACCTTCCTTACAGACTCAGGACAAAGCCCTAGATGCCGAATTGAGTGATGGTTTAGAGTTTGCAAACTCACCAAGAACCTTAATATGGGTGGCTTCATTAAGTATTCTAGGTTGATTTCTTTTTCGATTGCAAACAGATGCCGTTTGTTCAAATTTTACAACCAGCTCTTGAAAAAATTTATGATGCACATTTTTGCCAAGGTGTAGTTTATTAAATGCCACTGCAGTTCGTAGAGGACAACGATTTTGTGCACCATAAATAAAAA